TGTTTTACAATAAAATACCAAATTATAATTTTTGTATAACATAGATTTGCTAAACAGATCATTGATTTTTGATATTTTTTTACTTGATAATCTTTCTTTATAAGTATTTGATAAATTATATTTGGTAAAATAATAATTCTGCTCTATTATTTATAAAATTATAATATATAGTCTATATATACATATTTGTAAACACAAAAATTTTGACAGATTATCATGTCAAATTCTATATAACTTATCAAGTCTTTTATGCTATTAATACATATTAAAAAAGTTTAAAAAAAAACAAAAAAATTTTTATTAAGAATAAAAATTATTTATTAAGAACAAAAATTATTTATTAAAAAAAAGTTTATCAAAAACAAAAATTGTTTATTAAAGAAAAAAAGAACAAAATCATCAATATTTATCAAAAAAATAAGGTATAAATAGCATTAAATTTATATATATTATTATTACTATTAGAACTTAAAATTATACATCTATATTTGCCTAATGATTAACAATTATCAGAAAATCTCATAATATATCTGGTTTTAAGTAACCTTTAAATATGGTAGCTAGTATAAAACCTTTAGGTAGACTACTTAAATTAAACAATGATTAAAGTTATACAAATAGCTAGTTATATACTCTTTTTATAGTTTCTATAATTGTACAATAGCTATTAGCTAAAACATACTATTAATAAAATCCTGAGTCACAAGTACTTACTTTAACATTAAAAAAAAAAAATTTTAAAAACAAATAAATTTTTATAAAAAATTTTATATAAACAATTCTTAGATGTGTTAGAATACCTAATTCTTTGTTATATTATTTAATTATACAATATAAATATGCATCTATAGCTTTATAGTATTACTGACAATCAAAAAACAGTCACATAATATTCTAATATTATAATTATTTAAAAAATTTAGATTGTTTTAAAAAAAATTTTTATTATATAGAATATTGATTTTTTTAACAAACTATTAACTTGAGATAAATATTTTAAGTATACTTAAAAATAAACTTGATTACTTATGAACCGATTTAAAATAAACTGTAAGGCTTATATCAAATTATACAGATGATATCGTATCATAGAATATTCAAAATCTACACATTCAACTTCCTTTATAATGAACATTTCTATAATGAACTCTGGATATAATGTAATGAAAATTTTCAGTTTTATATTAGTTGGTATAACGTGATAATTTTATTTAGCGAACTTTTTTCTTAAGTTCAGAACTAGTGGTTCGTTATGAAAAGAGTTGACTATTTATATTATTCTTTCGATATAGGCTATAGTTAAGATTTTTTCTCAGTTCGATGTAGAGATGGGCATTGACTATTGGAGTTTTCAAAATAGCTATGAAATTAGTGTTTGGACTCGAGTCAACTCGTAGCTTAAAAAAACATAGTCTTAATTCGAGTTAAGACTAAATAACTATTGAAAAGATCGATTTCTATAAGTTTTTTAAATTTTGAAATCGATTTCTATATTTGAATATCAAGACAATATTGTACTACCTTGCATAGGTTGCGTCAGGAGGTCGAAGATCATGTGACTGAATCCTGCTATCTGTTATCGCTATTATCGTTATATCAGCTGTACGTATGTACGTACGCTTGCATTACATTTTATTGCCGGTAATCACCGAGGAATTCAGTAAAGTAGTATTGTACGGCAGTACAGATTCGGACGGACATGCGAACATTATACTAAATTTTGATCGTACGTACGATTAATATAGACTTGAAAGTTTCAATTTTTATAAGTAAACCTTTTTAATGGTTAGGGTTAGGGTGAGCGCTAGTATTGTCTCTTTTTGATGTTGGGGTTAGTAGGAAAAGTAACTTGGGTTTGACATATTTTTCTTTTATAAACAGTCGCATTATCTATTATCATGATTTTTACACGTCTATCCTAATTTGCGTTTCTGTACCGTACTACTTTACTATATACCCTAATCACTGTACAGTTCATACAGTACTGACCAAACAACCGGGCCGTACTGAATATATGTATACTTCTATACAAAACATATTAAAATTCAATCAGGCAAGTAGATATGAGAAAAATCTATAGGATTCGATCATCGATTCTAAAAAAGTGTGAGGGATTCACGCCCTTAAGCACGTACGTACGTACATACATACTTTCATGATTTCCACCACTTTACCATAAACTCTGTCGCATGCATATTGCTCTTATTACGGAAATTTGTTTAACAAAGTTTTTGATTATATAATGATAATTTCAATCAATTGGCCACGACGAAACTCCGAGATATAAGACTCAGTACCTGTTAAAAAATGACAAAAATATTATTCGAAAAACTTTCAAGTGATTATCTTGAGGTTCTTAATGATAAAGAAGATTTTAATGTAATCATTAAAGTTGATGAATCATCAAGTACAAAGGAATTTCATACCCATTCAGTTGTTTTAAAATATAGATCTTTATATTTTCGTAATGAATTGATGAACGCCAAAAAAGATGAAAATAACATTAAAATCATTAATTTAAAGCATATCTCAATTCAACAGTTTGAAGTTATTATCAAGTAAGTTATTTAATACTTATTTATATAATTTTTTTAAAAAAAACTATGATTAAATATTAACTTAATTAATTTAATGAAGATATATTTATGGAGGACTAGTTACTCTAGAAAACCATGAAGCCCCATTTTTATTTGATCTCATGTTTATTGCTCATGAATTTCTTCTTCAAGAATTAGTTAAACTTCTTGAAACATATTTAATTGAAGAAAAAGCTCATTGGCTTCGTTTACATTTTAATAATGTTTATCAAAGAAGTTTTCAAAGTAGCCAATTTCAAAATTTACAAGAATGGTGCAACGATATTGTGGTAAAATATCCGAGTAAAATCTTTGACTCTGAAGATTTTACATCACTTCAAGAAAAGGTGTTAATCTCTCTTATAAAACGTGATGATTTACAAATTGAAGAAGAAAAAATTTGGAATTATATCATTAAATGGGGTATTGCTCAAAATCCAAACTTACCATCAGACCTTGATGATTGGACTCATGAAAACTTTCAGGCTTTAAAGACTACTTTACAAAATTGCTTACCTCTTATTCGTTATTTTCAAATGTCCGGTAATGATATTATCGACAATGTACAACCCTATCAACCAATCCTAGAAAAAAACCTTTGGAAAGATATAATGAAAAGAATTGTAAATCCAAATCAACCAATATCATCAGCAATTCTTCCTCCTCGCGTGATTTTGACACAAAATTTACCGTCAAGAGTAACTGAGGAATTTTCGACAGTTATTAACGAAGAACATGCAGCCGAAATTTCCTCATGGATTGATGAAGAAACTACTATGTATTCTATAAAAAATAATCCATATGAATTTAGATTACTTCTTCGTGGAAGCAGAGATGGGTTTACTGCTGATTCGTTTTGGAACTTATGTAATCAGAAAGAGAATGTTGTTGTAGTTATAAAAATTAAAGATACTGATGAAATCCTTGGTGGATATAATCCTATTGGATGGGATCAATCTAGGTTTGGTAATATAAGCTGTGAAAAAAGCTTTATTTTTTCATTAAAAAATGGTAATATTCAAAATTCTATTTTAAGTCGTGTAAAAAGATCAAAATATGCAGTTTTTAATTATACTTTGTGTGGTCCATCATTTTATGACCTTGTTATTTTTAATTTTGATGATGAAAATTTTTGTCGAACAAAGATTTATGAAAATCCAATTAGAAATGCGCCTGTAAATAATACTGGTGAATCTCATTTTTCATTAGAAGAATATGAAATATTTCAAATTTATAAAAAATAGATTAATAAACTTTAAATTTTAAATAGTTTACTAGTATGACAAGTATATATAAATAAATTTTATCTTAATAAACTCTTTGAAATATTGATTATATAATTATTTATGAAACGATTAAGTTACTGTATAAAAATTTAAGGCCATGTTTTGAAACGATTATTTAAGCTATAGAACCAAACCGTAGTAAACCGACATAAAAAAAAGACATGCAATAAATGATTTTGTAAACATTAATTGGGCTGAAGCTGTTACTTTATTTTTTTTTAAAAATTTTTTTTTGACCCAGGCGTATTAATTTATCATTTCAATTTATGGCTGTTTTAGAGATACATAGTACTTTTAATAAAACCTCCTCGTATAAAAGTTCTAAGGATTGATATTCCAATAAACATAAAACAAAGCAGAAATCTCCTGTCGAACAGTATTTTATGAGAAATTTCACTAACTATAATGGAAATTCTAGTAGACGTATTGCTAATATATAGTAAATGACTACTTACAATCAATCAATATGTAAATTCAAATTTACAGCTGCTTTCATAACCATAAATTCTGACAAATGAAAAAATGAGTCGATAATTTTCTGATTTTTGTTTTGTTATTCCAAATTGATAACTTTATCGATTCGATCACTAAAAGGTTTTTAATGATGAAGAGAACATGAAATTCACATACTACATCCATTAACAGGTTGACAGGTAATGCAAGTGACCATTTATTATATATTCAAATAGAAATCTCTCGATTGTTAAGTGATCTCTGATTTCTTATAAGTACTCCGATATTTGGATGGGAAATTTTCATATAAGAGTAATTTTAAGAAATCAGGAATCACCTAACAGTCGAGCGATTTCTTGCAATAACATATCGGTAGATTTGATTTTTGGGGCTCTTTTAGATAAATTGGTACACAACTTTTTGCTCATAAGTGACGCTAAATGGAATACTTGTCACAAGCAATATGTGAGCTTCTATAGTGCTTAAACAAGATAAATCAAATAAAACAAGTATACTAAGCCATAGAAAGAAGCACTAGCATTATATGTTCATTTTACAATGGGTTAACTTCTGACTTATAATTAAATGTATAAAATTTATAATTTTGGATGCATTTAATTACAGATTCAATGTAAGGTTAAAATTAAAAATAATATAAAAACTATAAAACCCATTAATTGGATTTTCACATCATTTTTCTACCGGAAAGACGATGCCTAACGTAGTGATAGTGTTGCCAACAGATATGGTCAAAATCCTAAAACTTAATTGTCGCATCATGTGATGACATCTTATGATTATATCAATGATTGTGATACGATTACTAATCATTTAAAAATTATCACCCGACGCGACAATTAAGTTTCAGGATTTTGATTTTCGGGATTTAAGGGTAGCGGTAGAACCCATAAAAGGTATAAAAGGTTGAAAGCCAAGAGCAAAATAGGAATACCAGCTCTTTAATTAATGATATACTGTACGACTTTTCGATACATCAAAAGTAGGGCTGTTATCGGCTTGATGACTTGGCTTGGCTTCAAAAGCCATGGCTCCACCTTGAGCTATGACAATTGGAGCAGTGATTTGAGCCATAATCTGAGCCATAGCTCAAACAATGGCTCGACTCAAGCTGTAGTTTTTATAGTTGGAAACGTGTATTAATCACGTAAAAATTAAGAGTCACAGCTTAAGCCAAGTATAGCCAAGCTATGACTCAAATCTGAGCTCAAGCCACAGATTGAGCTGCCACTCTAAGCTATAGCTTGATTACGATTCAAGCTACAGCTCAATTGGCTTGGGCCATCTCAGCTCCATTACGCATCCAGAGCCGCTCACAAATAAGCCGTTAACAGCCTAATCAAAAAATTTCAATTATAAATTTAAGTCATTGTGTGTTTTGTCACTATCAAATTTTAATTATTTGTCATGTATTCTTTACGTCGTCAATTTTTCAATAAATAATCGATAGGTGTAGGAAGCGTGTCTGTTTTTACACAGAAAAAGCAAGAAATTCTAATTATGTCTTTTTCATTTATTCCTCCGTCGGGAGATATAAGAGCGGTCGTTGCAATTAGTATTTTACTGACACTAAAATTGAGATTTTATTAAGTTTATTAACTAAAGTGATATTTAAGCAGATACAGTCTACCCTCATTATAACGTAGTGGCCAGGCAGATAATTATCGTTATGCGTACTGATACATATCCACTCCTATTACGGAAATTTGTATAACAATATTTATAATTATATAACGATAATGATAACGGAAAAAATCTAATACTTTGTAGAAATGACGAAAATATTATTTGAAAAACTTTCAAATGATTACCTTGAACTTCTTAATGATAAAGAAGAGTTTAATGTAGCCATTAAAGTTGGTGAATCATCAAATACTAAGGAATTCCAGACCCATTCAGTCATTTTAAGACATAGATCTTTATATTTTCGTGATAAATTAACGAACGCTAAGAAAGATAAAAATAATATTAAAATCATTAATTTAAAGCAGATTTCAATTCAACAGTTTGAAGTTATTATCAAGTACTTCTTCGTGGAAGCAGAGATGGGTCTACTGTTGATTCTTTTTGGAATTTATGTGATAAAAAAAAGTACGTTGTTGTAGTTATAAAAGTTAAAGGCACTGATGAAATACTTGGTGGGTATAATCCTATCGGTTGGGATAAATCTAAATATGGTCCTATGAGTTGCGATAAATGCTTTATTTTTTCATTGAAAAATGGTAATATTCAAGATTCTATTTTAAGTCGTATAAAATTACCTGAATCTGCAATTCTTAATTATCCTGATAGCAGGCCAAGGTTTCATTATGACCGTATTACTTTCAATCATCATTATAAGAGTTACTGTAAACCGAATAGTTATGAAAAACCAATCAGAAATGTACCTGTAGATATACAAAATTCTTCTTATTTTTCATTAGAAGAGTATGAAATATTTCAAATTTATAAAAAATAATCTATAAACTTTAAGTAATTTATTATATAACAAGTATATAAGCAAAAAATGTTTGTTGAAATGATGATTATTTAAGATTTGCAGTTGTAGCTTTAAATACTCGTCTAACACTAGGCTGTATTATTTGGCTATAACTCAAGCCCATTGTAGTTGTAAGATCTGATGGCCACTGTTTGTTATTCCTTTGGATGAGATTGTTGAAGGAGGTGTTATGTTGTAGATAAGTTGGGTAGAAACCAGATGTCATCTATTTGGTTATGCATTTCTTGTTGGCTTTAGGTGGGTTCTGTAATATTAAAGTAATCAAATGTTCTAAGTAGTTCATATGAGTTTAGTGTGTTGAAGAATAGTATTGTTTTCTTTTTAGATGTTTTATTAATATTAAAGTTTTCAAGAACAATTGTATAGTAGCTTTTGGTTATTGTTTGATTTATTTAATATGTTATTATATGTTGTGTAATCATGTTAAAAAGATGGTTTGTAGCTAGTAAATAGATAGATATTATATGAATTTAGTTTTTATTCAGAAAGAAAAAGTCTATTGCAATAACAGTTCCTGATTCAATTATAATATTGTGATTATAAGGTTTGGGTGGTTTGGTAATTGCAATTGCAGTACCAAAACTTGATTCTTTTTTAACTTTTTTTTTTTTTTTTTTAAATATTAAGATAAGTACTTGCAACCCAGAATTTTATTGATAATATATTTGGTTAATAGTTGCATTACAACTACAGAAGGCATCTATAGAAAGAGTATACAAATAGCTACTCATATAACTTTAGTTATTATCTAATTTAAGTAGTCTGCCTAAAGGTTCTATACTAGCTGTTATACCTGGAACCTGCTTGTAAGTTTCCTATTTAACCACTCTAGTTTCTATATCCACCCACCTACCTCTGCTTACCAATGATTTTAGGTGATGCTGATAAAAATATACCATAATTACTAAATCTTTAAAGCAGTTCTTTGAAATCTTTAATCTTGTACTAAACCTTTTAGAATCTTTTGTATATTATTTTTACAGCTGATCTGATATTGCTATGTCTAAGACCAGCACTAATAATTAGGATATATCATTAAATTATTATACCTTAATAGAATTTATCTCAACTTTGATACTAACTTCACAATATATCCTTGCATCTTTGATATTCAATTCAAGTTCCACCAAGCTGCCATTTTAGATAACTCAGAAAGATAGGTCATAATTATATATTTCTGGTTCACATATTTGCAGCATGTATCTTTTTTTTAAAAAAATTTGGAAATTCTAGTAGCCTGGTTAGTTCATTCAGTCTCTCCTTAAAGACTAGTACATTTGTCTAATTTTATAAGTTTTAGCTCTGTTTCATAAATTTAATCTTTATAATAGTACTGTCAAAGGTTCAGGTTACTTCTCTATTCAGGTTTTCCAAATAGGCTTCTGTCTTCCTACCTGGTTACTGTGATTTACATGACCTAAGGACTTATCTTGGGTTTACATCATTTAGTACCAGTTTGTGTTTCTTCATACAACATTATATAAGTGTCTAGACCTTTCAGTCATGCTGGTATGATACAGATTACAGATATCTTATTTCAACCAATCACAGAAGACAGTTAACTATAATACAGAAAGAATTGCAAATTTTTACTATCACTAGGATTTGAACTCTAGATCTGTCACTTAGAAATTGACAACCTATTCATTTCACTAGCTCATCACACTCTTTTTTAAAAATTTATCATGATACAAAATATAAAAAATTAAATAACATTTTGTTTTGATTAGAATTTTATGTCAGATTTACATTTTATAACTAGAATGCTAGATATTATTATCATTATGTGAATAATACATTGGATTTATTTAATAATATAAATAAAAAAAATGTTTATTTAATTGATAAATATTTTCAAAAAATTAATAAGTATGTTGAAAAATATAATATAAAATATCTTTGGACTTAGAATGATTTAAAAAGTTATAATAAAAAATATTTAGCTTATTAGTTTTTTATTTTGTATAAATTAATAAATGTATCATTCTGGAAATAGTTTTATCAGATAACATCGGAAACAAATATTAAATATAATAAATATTAAATAAATTATTATTCCAATAATAAAGAATTTTTTTGAATAAATTATTTCAAAAATAAATATAAAAATATCAAAATTTTCAATATGATCTACTATTAGTAAACCAAAGAGAATAATCACAGCAAGAATTAAGTAAAAGAAATATATTTTATTTGTTAATTTTTGTTAAATTAGTAAAAATTTTGTAAGAAAATGGTTTAAAAACAATTTTAAATATATAAAAGCTTGTAAACAATAAATTGTAAAGAAGGGATGTGGTGACCTAGTAAAGTGGTCAGGTTGTCAACTCTTCAAGTGGTAGGTTGGGTGTTCAAGTCCTATTGATAATGAAAATTTGGATAATCAGCTATGTAATATTCATATTACAGCAACTATTACTAATGATTAGGTTAGGATATCTGTAATGGTAGTCGCACTAGCATGACTAGTAGGTCATGGGGCATTCGTGTAACAGGTCATATGACATTGTTCTTTGGGACAAGATTGTGGTTACACAAAAGAATGCAAACCAGCAATAGGCGATGCAAACACTAGATAAGTTCTTGTGGCCATGTAAATCTGTTGAAATTAGATAACAAGAAGTCTATTTGGAAAGACCCGAATAGAGAGGTAGCCAGATCTTCGATAGTCCTACTGTAAAGGCTAGTCTTCTAAAATAGATACCAAGGTCGAAATAGCCAGATGGGCAAAAACCTCTAGGTGAGAGGTACCACCAACCAGGCTACTGGATCAAGCTGGAGGAAAAGAATATCAGGTTGACCTGATATATCAATAGACTGGTCATAAGTCCTATTGGGCTATCTGGATTGGGAGTTTGGTGAACTAGCAAGGGTATACTAAAATATTTTGGATATGCTGTGAAGTAAATGCTGGGGTTTGTGTAAACTCTACAAGAGCATAGCAGTTTAATGATTAGCCCTGACTGCAAATGTTAGTTTTGCTATAGCAATACCTAGGTTAGCTATAAAAATGAATACAGAAGGCTCTGGAAAGTTTACTTTGAAGATAAATTAGTCCTAAGGTTGGGATGATGATCTGGGCATTTGGGATAACTCAGTGATGTTAACACAGATTACAGATTCAGAGGGTTTAAAGTGGAACACCCAAGCAGGGGTGTTAGGTACAGCAATTAGTGAGAAACCTTTAGATAGACTTCTTAAATAGGTAATATAGAAAAGTTATATATGTAGCCAATTGTATGCTCTCCTGTAGTGATTCATTGAACCACAATACTGATAAGTGATTAATAAAAGTCAAAAGACCAAAGAGGTTACTTTAATGCCAAAAAAATAAAAATAAATAAATTGTAAAGAAGGTAGAATGTGAAAACAGAAGACTTTTTATTTCTAATTTGAAAAGTTTTAATTAGTTCATTTGCTAACAACTAAATTTTTTTAATAATAATTTGATTAGTAAACTTTATTTATAATAATATAATATAAATTATAATTATAAAATAAAGTTTTAATATATTTTGCTAATTATATATATAAATTTTAGTTTAAAATTAGTTTGTAATATAAAATATTATTATAAAATTAGAATAACATAATATATATTTATTTATATATAATTTAGTACATTATTATCTGAAGCGTAGCAGAGGATGCTCAATTTCTATGCAAAGTGATATAAAAGTTATGTTTTTGATACACCAAAAGTATCATTATTGATGCATTAATAATAATAAAAATATCAAAAACATAACTTTGAATTTTCTGTCTGTCCCTACTTGCATATTTGTGTAACACAACAAATCTTATGTGATTTCGCTCCGGACTTATAATGGTTTCTGTTTTCTAGTAAATACAATAGAATATAATATAAATAATTTTAAAATAATTTAGTATAAATAATTTAGAATATAGATAGTATAATATTAAAGAATTGAAATATTATTTATAAAAAATTTAAAATATATAATATAAATAATTTAAAATAATAATATATTATTAATTATAATTATTTTTAACATTTTAGTATTTTTAGCAAACTAAAAATAATTTTATTCATATGACTTAATAATAATCTAGAAAGTTTGATCTGTTGTTATTGTTTAAAATAATCTTTTTTGTTTTATAAAAAAAAATAACCCAATAACTTTTCTTTATTACAAACAATTTTAAAAAATTTTTAATAGAATAACTATTTTTATTTCCAGTTTTTTGATTATAAGTTAACTTAAAATTTATTGCTAATTGGTTTGCTTGTTCACTAATTCTATTTTTTGTAATAAAAAACTATTTCTGTCTATGTTTATTATTTTTTCTCATTAAAAACACCAAGCATTTATATTTTTAATAAAATAAATTCTATTAAAATTTAATGTATTATCTTTTCATAAATTACAATTTAATTAATTTATTCCATTAGAACTATCTTGAAGATTACATCTACAATTATCTGTTCCAATTCTGTTAATATAATTAATAATTTTGAATTATAAATAAACTATTTAATGAAATAGTAAATTTTTATTTTGAATATAAAATATATGTACAAGTTTATTAGAATACCAAGTATGATTTTTAATTAAATCAAAATTGTCAAAATCAATTAAGAATGTAATTTCTGGATTTTAAGCTAATACTTCAAGAAACAATGTTGCATTGATTTCAATCATTTGATAAGAATTTGATTTATATTAAGGTTTGATAATTGGTAGCTTGGTTCAAGCAAATAATTCTTTAAATGAATTAAACTTAGTTTTTTAGAATGATTTGTTAATTTCTTTTTCTAATAAATACATTGTTAAATTTTCAAAAATATTAAACTTTTGTCAAATTTATATAATTTTTAATTTCTCTGAATAAAATTTATACATATAAAAATTTTTTAATATATATTAATTTTTATTATATGGTAATAAAATGAATATAATTTTAGTATAATAATTTATGTATGTAACAACTAAAATATTAATAATAAAAATTATGAAAACTACTTGAATATTTTTAAATGTTTTATTGTTAATAAAAAACTATGTAACAAAGGTGATACCTAATAGATATTTTTTTATAATATTAATATTGAGTTTACAATTTGAAAAAGTATATAAATATAAAGTAAATTTCTGATGTGCCAAAAATTTTCTAAAATATTTAAGTAATAAGTAGGAATAAAATTACTTAAAAATCCTAAAACAAAATTCAAAAAATAAGTATTTACAATTCACAGAAGTTTTTAAAGTTTACCTGTTCATGATATTTTAATTTTTTAAATAATAGAATTCATTATCGATAATACTTCAATTTTTTTTTGTCATCTTGTATAGAATTAATTTTGTTCAAAATCAGATTTTTTTTGTTTTGAAGTTGTTGTATTTGTTGATTTATTTTCTGTTACAGTAGGTTAAGTTTTTTAAGAATATTATTTAAAATTTTTTCATACTCTTGTATTAATAAATCTTTTTCTTTTAGTTGTTTTTACTAAATTGCAATTATAATTTCTTGTTGTTTATTTGTATCTGTTAATTTAATATTATTTGTATTAAGAACTTCAATAGTTAAATTTTTGTTTATTAATTAATTTTTTAAATCATCATTTTCATTTTTTATATTCTCATTTTCAATTTGAAGATTATCAATTTCATTTATAATATTTTGTTTTTTTGTTAGCAAATTAGACATTTTTTTATATTTTTTAATAATCTTGGATTATATTTATAGATTTTTTTGATTTGGAATAAAAATTAGTAAATTGTAATAAACTATAAAAGATATGAAAAAAATTTATATATATAAAAATATTTATAATTTGATATATAAAAAAATGACTCAAACTGAAAAAACAAACTGTATAAAATACAAAAAACTATATAAAACATGTTTTTAATCAACTACTAATCTTACAAAATATGAATATTGTTATAAAAGAAACCTTAATTGCATATATTTTAAACCAAATAAGATTGAAGAAAAAATTGTTAAATTATATAAACTTGTAAAAGAACAAGATGAACAAATTGCTTTATTTTAAAAACAATTATTACATTATAAATTAATTAAACAAAATTTGAAACAGATTAATACACTTATTAATTTTAATAACATGTAATTTTTTTTGTACTTTTTAATAAAAAATATAATTTATTTATAATAAGGTAAGTATAGGTATTATAATGCAGTTAAATATGTTAATAAGAAAACTTTTTCAAATTGCTTTGAACATTTATTAAATTTTTAGAGATAAGTATAATTTGATTTGAATTAAGTTTTTTTTTTATTTTTAAAAAAAAATTTTATTAAAAAAATAACTTTTTATATAACATAAAATTTCTTTCAGAAATCATGATCTTTAAGGTAATGACCAAAAATGGTACATACTAGATAATCAAATAGTACTACTTTTTTTTTCTAAGTCATTTTTTCTCTCTAATACACTGTTGTTCTAACTTAGCATACTCTTTTTTTTTTTTTTTTTGCTTGTGAATTTCTTGTTTTTGTGCCTTCTCTGCCTCTTATGCTATTCATTTTTGGATGGCAATCTCTTTTTTTTCTTTTTTTTTTATTGGCAACTCTTTTTGCATCTTCCTCCATTTCCTTCAACAAATGCAATAACTCTTTACTCATAAGAAGCTGAGAAAAAGACATGGTCTTCTGTTTTTTCTTGGGCTGCTAAATTTTGGACTGTGTTTTATTTATCTTCAGATCTTCAACCTGCTTTGAATGCTGCTATAAAGGATATTTAAGCACCAGCTGCAAAGGACTGGTACCTGGATTTTTATAGAGCTCCAGTTCTGTTTCTAAATATTTAACCCTCTGATTAAGTGATCTTACTTCTGTTCACGATTCTTCATTTGTAGAGGCCATGCTAAGGCAATTTGATACTAAACTAGATGAAGGTAAAAATGAAGTTAGTGCAACAAGTAGACAAATTGGTTGCTCAAAATTTGGTAGGTCAAAGTTATGTGTTGCCATTGAGAGTTCAAAATAACTAGGGCTAATGGCATTGGGATTGAATAGCCATATTTCTGTTGTTTTGAAAGCATTACATATAGTGATAAAGGTGTATACTTTAATATAAGCCTGTCTAAAGAGTTTAGCGAATATATATTTTGTTATCAGCTTGTCATCAATAGTATAAAACTTATCATATTTACTATTATATGCTTGTTTGAGTTGAGTAAATGGCAGTTTAGCAGGTTGTAGAACATGAGTGGTGTGTAATAGAAAAGCATAAAGAAGAATATTATTTTCATAACAGAAGTTGACACAAGTATAATTGATGTAGCTCTTATGTCCATTAAGAATTAGTAAAACAGGATGAATGGGAGGAATAGAATTAACAAAATGTTCTATATATTTTTTAAACAGACTCTTCTGCATATATTCTGTATTGGTAAACCTTATAATAGTACTCACAGATGCATTATCTAAAAGACCTAGAATTATCTGTATACCTTTGTATATCATTAATGATGATATATATATTCTAGTAGCTGAAATAGTAGAGCATACAGAGATATATTTATGATTGCAGCCATGTAAAACTTGATGAACCTAACATGCTTCTTTTTTTGCAATAACTTTTTGAAATCTAGGTTCAATAATGAAATATGTCTTATGCAAATAAAGAGTGACTTATATCACCTGTGATGATCTAGTCAGAAAAAAAAAATAAAAAAAAAAAATTAGAAAAAAAAAACCTGTCTTGTCCATGTTCCAGATCTGATCAAGGGTAAGTAAATATTCATTAATAATTTTCAAGTTTATTAAAATGATTATTAATTATAATAGGATTTGCTTTTTGGGCATGTGCTTTATTTAGGGCTTGTGGAATGCAAAATAAAAGTTCAGGGTAATCTTTTAGAAACTGTTCCTATCATAATTGACCTAATTTATTTTTATTAAAAGAATGTGAATGCTTATCTCTATGAACAATTTCCATTATACAATAATTTATATCAAAACTTGATAACCCAAAACCAAGTCTTTGTATATTTAGACAGTAACCAACCAATTGCCTTCTTTATAGTTAGTTAGAACTTTATTAGGGCCTGGATGTTTGAGGGACTGCCATTTTTTATAATATATCTAAGAGTTGTTTTTGGGATATCAAAGTCTTGTACAACACTTCTTATACTTAGAGTTTAGAATTATTTGATGAACTTTTTATAGCCTTAAAGGCTTTCTCAATAGCATTATTTTGAATAGCTTTATTTTTATTAATTAATATGAGCAGTTTTTTTATTTTCAATTTTTTTTTTTTTTTTTTTTGTAAATTTTAAAATTTAATAAAATGATATTTTTCATCACATGTAAAAAGTATATGAGTTAAAAAGATTTATTTATTTTAGTATTTATACAAAACTAACAATTTATTTGTCACACTGCCTAATTATTATAAATAGCAAAAATGTACAAACTTTAATTGAATTATGTAATATAATCAATTTTGCATTAGCGATAAAATTAGCTTAACTGGCTTAGTTAGCTGATTTTTCAAAAATTGACTTAGTTAACTCTATATAGTTATAGGGCAGTTTATAATATGATTTAAAATTGCTAAAAAGAAAATCAACGAATATAAAATACTAGACAAAAATTAAAGAAATCAATAACTTCTGAAGTTTAACTTAATATAATTTAGGATAATTGAATAGCTAAGCTGATTTTTAAATATTAACTTAGATTAATTTTATTGAGTTTATTATGCTAAAATTATAAACTATCATATAGGCAAAAATTTTTAATGAGAATTTGGTAATTATAATACAGCAAAAATCATTAATAGGGGTGTGGCGACCTAGTTAAGTGGTCAGGTTGTCAACCCCCCAAGTGGTAGGTTGGGTGTTCAAATCCTATCGATGGCGAAAATTTGGATAATTACCTATGTAATATTTGTATTACCAAAACTGTTACTAATGATTGGGTTAGGATACCTGTAATAGTGGTCGCACCAGCATGACTGGCAGGTCATGGGGCATCTGTGTAAGTATAGTGTTACACAGAGGAATACAAACTGACAAATCGGGTAGTGCAAACACTAGATAAGTCCTTGTGGCTGTGTAAATCCATTAAAATTAGGTAACAAGAAGTCCATTTGGGAAGACCCAAGTAGAGAGATAGCTGAATCTTCGATGGTCCTACTGTAAAGACTAGCCCAGGAAAACAGATACCAAGGTCATAGTACCTGGCCGTAGTAGCCAGATGGGCAAGAACCTCCGGGTTGGGATCCTGGAGATACCACCAACCAGGCCACTAGAATGAACCAGAGAAAAAGGATATTGGGCTGACCCGATATACCGATGGACTGGTCGTAGTCCTACATGGGTTATCTGGATTGGAAGTTTGGTAAAAAGGCTAGACAAAAGGCAAGAGTATACTAAAGTACTGGAGTTATGCTGTGAAGTAAATGCTGGGGTCTAAGTGAACTCTACAAGGGCATAGCGGTTTAATGGTTAGCCCTGTCTGCAAGTGTTGGTTTTGCCATAACAATACCTAGGTCAGTTGTAAAAATGGGTACAAAAGGCTCTGGAGGGTTTACCTTGAAAATAAATTAGTTCTAAGGTTAAGGATGATGATCTGATACATCAGAGATGACCAGTGATGTTAACACAGATTACAGGTTCAGAGGGTTTAAAGTGAAACACCCAAGCAGGGGTGTTAGGTACGGCAATTGGTAGGGAACCTTCAGGTGGACTCTTTAAATAGGAGTACCCTTATGTTAAGCAAAAATTAGACCCTTCCGATCCAAATACTTAGGTTGGAGTATCTCAAGTATTTCATTTATATCTGATATGAAAAAGTAAGAGCTATATGTAAATTTTAATGCTGAACATTTTTAATTAGAAGTCAGAAGTTGGCTAGCATAATAAAATTTGGCTCTATTTAAGAATTTTCACTTTTTTTGCTTTTTTCGCTGTTTGTTTTTGTTACACAAGATCCTAAGGTTTTATTGGTTCCGGACCAGAAATTTCAAAGTCAGAGGTCGATTTTTGCTTGACATAAGGGTACCCCTTAAATAGGTAATATAGAAAAGTTACATATATAGCCAATTGTACACTCTCCTGTAGTGGTTCATTGAACTACAATACCGATAAGTGATTAATAAAAGTCAAAAGACCAAAGAGGTCACCTTAATACCAAAAAAATAAATAAATAAATAAATTATTCTATAACACTATTAAGCAATCAACCAACTTTTAACATTGAAAAAAATCAAATAGAATTAGATGAATTTAAATTTTATATATATATTAAACTAGTTTCTTTTGAAACTGAAACTTTTTATTCAATAATTAGGATATCAAAGAAGTTACCTTTATATTAAAGAGTACAACTAGTCATACATATATTTTTGGTAACTAATTTAAGTAGTCCACTAATGGTTCTATACTAGTTGTTATACTTGCAATCCAACTAGAAGCATTGCTTATTTAAATTCTTTATATTAAATTCTTATTGTATTACTAGACTATTTCTGATATATATATCAGTCAAGAAGGTTTAGATACTTATTTATATTTTCAGAATTATATACTTTATTTCATGCAATGTATTTTCAAAAGCATTGTTACTAGAACTTTTCATATTCTATACACAGCTAATTTAGTTTTATATAACATATTATAATTATTTAATACTTGCAATTAGAACTAATCTTAAACTGCTATATTATATTATTGTTATTTTTGTAAAGTTTACCTAAATTCTAGTATTTATCTTTTTAATATTTTCTTTATTATTCTTTACCAATTGCAATTTAGAATTAACAAACTTTTCAAACTTCTAATCTAGATAGTTCAATATAATATATCTTAGTATTTTTTTTCTTAATAATTCTAATAACCTGGTTGGTCATATGCTCCTCTATATATTTTTGTTATTTAATTTATCTGCTTATTTCTATGAAGGTGTTTCATAAGCTTCTATTGGTCTGACAGTATTATTAAAAGTTTGTGTTATCTTTACAAATTAAATAATGCTATATTAGCATATATGCATTTGACAAATATTAGACAAATATTAAAATATAATATTTTGCTAATAGTTCTTTAAAAAAATTAGAAAAATATTAACTAATAGTACTATTAAAAAAATAATAATATACTGATAGGCCTTTAAAATATCAGTAAAATTTTAGAATAATAAAGATATACTAATATGTTTAGTAAGCAATATTAGTTAGATTATATCAGATTAAAACCAGAGACAAATTGGAATTAAATATATTAAGTTATTTTAACTAATATTAGATAACTATCAGCATTCCAATAAATATATTAGTAAATTTAAATTAATAGCTTAAACATTATAAATAATAATAATGTTTAAAATAGCATTTTAGCAATAAACAAATTATTCATTAACTACTTAATAGCTCAAAAAAATATGTATTGGCATTTGTATATTGGTTCAAGTCTGTTGATAACTATAAAATTAAATATCATTGCCAAGTAGATAACATTTGTAATATTGAATTGTAAAATCAGAATTTTTATAATATAAGTAGGAATTGTATAATTTCTATATACAATATCTTAGACCAATTCATTTTTGGTACTGTTAAAGTTGAAAAAAAACTCCAAAATTATATGTAAGTAATATCAGTTAATAGAAAATTTTATATATAATAATAAAATTTATTTTACTTTCATTATTCATGATTTTTTGCTAAAATGTTTTTCATTGTTTTTAAATATTAAACTATATTATAAAAAATATTAGTGCAATAAAAATCTTATAGCTATATTAGTAGTATTTTTAATATAGAAATATGTTAATCATTTCAAGCAATATTAGATTAATACTATAATATTATAAAAAACAAAATAGCTATATCAGTTCTTTCAATATTATTCTGATTATTAACAAGTTGTATTTAAAAATATTAGTATTTTTAGAATCAATTTTATATTAATATTAGCATTCTGATATTACAATTATATTTAAAATTTCTATCTTTTTTCAGTTATCTAATATTTTTCTAATATGATTTTGGTTATGCAACTTCTAATATGTCTTTATTTAACTTGTAATAATGGTAGTATAATTGCCACTCTTTTATCACTACCAAACATAATGATAATAATAATTAAACTATTATCACAAATAATAATATTAGTAATACTATTACTAATAATAATGATAGCAATAATACAACCTATAATGATATTAATCAAACAAATAATAATAATTATAATTGTACTACTACTACTAATAGTGCTTTTGCAAGTGCCAAAAATACCAAAAACAAACAGAAACAGCAAGCTGTTAGTATTAACAATTAGCAAAAACTATTAATATTTTCTAAACCAACTTTTAGCTACTTAAAAAGGTCATATGAAATCTTGAAAGATATGAATAAAGAACAATATAAGTTGTTTTATATATGTATAATAATATTGGCATATAAAATTGAATTTGTAGTTATTAAATTTCCTAGAATACTTATAGCACATATATTTAAGTAATTATAGAGCTATCAAATTTATGAATATTTATTTTAATGTGCAGAATGAAGTAATTCAA